CGTGAGGGCATATATATTATACAGAAGCACTCCTAGCTCAAAGTTCCTACACTGACCGGCAGAGGACACTGCAAGCCCCACCTGGAGATGCTGCAGATTGAAGGAAAAGCAGATGCTCTTCCCCTAGTTCCAGAAAAAAGGAAACTACCAATAAATAGGTTTGTAAACAGGTCCTCTGAAGAAAAAGGCAGGTTTATGTGGGTATATGGCATTTCAGCCTTCTCATCCTGAACATAATTTCTATGAAGCCATTTCCATGGAATTAATTTTCAAGTTAGCATGGTTAGAATTGCAGCCTTATTTGAATTTCCAGCTGGTGATCTGATTATCAGATGTAATCAAACACTGGCATTCTTTAAAGGAATCACAGGGGACTAGCAATGGGGTGGGAACAGGGGAAGAGTAGGGATGGACAAATCTGTCCGTATTAGTTTCTCATTTTTTTCTCCTTCAGACTTTGTTCAATTCACCTGATTTCTGCATCAGTTTGTGAACTTCTTTTTTTTAAAAAATAAAGTCCTCATGAAAATGCATAAACATTTTTGTGCATTTCCCTCAATATAAGCACTTTTTTTTTGAAAACAATAATGCATTTTGTACATTTGTTTTACTAATGCATTCTTGCGCACATTTCCCCCTAATATGTGCCATTTTGTACATGCTTCTTTGGGTTGGAGATCTGAATCATAAAATTTGAAGAAGTGCAAACTCTCAAGGATATGTGAGCTGAATTTTGGTTCATGCATTGGTTCGGGAACTGTGGAAAAGCTAGATTCACATTAAAATGCAAACAGAACAAAATTCTCCCCCACTGTTAGGGAAGAGCTGTGAGTGAGTGTGTGTTTGAATGATTGCTGCCTTTTTGTCCTTGCAAATAGAGATTCTTGGAAGTGCTAGGATATGAACTTTTAAATTGTTTGTCCAGGCTTTGTCTTTAAACTTCATGAATACTGCTCATTCATGAGGAAGGTCAAGAAAATCCTCAGCTGAGCAGGAGGAAAATTAGTCTTTTGACCCTGTCCTTAATTGGATTGCTGCATCTTTCGCTCCTGGAGGTTAGGAATCCTCTGTTATTCTGTAGAACTTGGTCTTTGGATATGCAGCAAGCTAGAATCACTAGTCTTTCTTCTTAAGGAATGGATGCTTAGGCTGAAATCCAGTACACATTTACCTGGGAGTAAGTCCCATTAGACTCAGTGGAATTTACTTCTGAATAGCCATGAATAGAATTGCATTTCTGCTGATCCTATTTCTTTCCCCCTCCTCTTGAGGACCTGATGTGTTCTCAGCAGAAGGCTCTTCCTTAAGACTGTTGCCCCCCCTCACCCCTTTCATTCTTCTAGCAAGGTTAATGGGTCTCTACCTGGTGTAAAACAAGTCAGCTGATATTTTCCTCTATCAAAGTATCATCTTGTTCTTTTGCTATAGACACCAAGGCTGGATGCATACAGCAATTTAACATAAAATAAACAAATAGGTAAATAATAAGTTTTGGAATCCCCTAGAATGCACATTTGAAATACAGGATATTTAGAGTGTTGCATGCCTGGAGTTTCTAAACACAGATGTAAGGTTGTGCTGTCAGGGATGGGGAACCTGCAGCCAATGTTTTTTTCTTACAATTTTGTAAGAGAATTTGTTATTTAAATATGTATCTTGAGAGGCATACTTTTTTTTTTTTTGAGGGAAATGCAGATTAATGCAGAAGCCCAGTGGAAGTTATCTGAGGGTAAATGCACATGAAATGGACAGATTTGTCTATCCCTACAAAAAATCAATCGCTTTCAGTTGCCATATTTCTTATTCTTTTCATAAGAGCAACGGCAAATTAACCACTGGCAGAGCAGCAGGGATGGGAGTGGGGAATCCCAGCAGGTTGTTCTTCTCCCCATCTCCATTGAGAACTGCCCTTTAAGTGAGTAAAATGTTTCATTAGGGAAAATAAACAAAACCTTCAAGATGAAATGTCAGCCCACAAAAACATCTTCTATTCTCAAGTCAATGAAGCCAAGTTAGAATGACAGCCGGCAAAGAGGCTGTGTCTGTGTGCATATTTGCTGTGCCATGTGCAATCTGATCTCCAACATATAATTTGCCTCTTGAGAATCTTGACCACTATGTGCAAATGCTAGTTCTGCATCACTGCCAAAGAAAAACCTGCTGTGGTGGGAAGTAGTCTGGCAGGTTTGCAGGATACGTGCTTGTGTGTTTCAGTCAAAGCGCCCTGTCCATTGGGTCTTGGCCAGCTTTTCTGCTAGTGGCAGTGCAGTGCGCTGGGTAGCTGGCTGCCATTTAATTCTCTCAATGTAGCATCATTCCAGGGTGTTATGGGAAATTCAAATGGCGGCTAGGTCCAGCTATCCGGTGCTGCTTGAAGCAGGGTTTTTATTGTCATTATGATTTTAAAAAAGGAAGTTCAAGGCAGGCATCAGTGATGGGCCATGTAAGAGCTCTGAGACGAGAGCAGTTGCCGAAGGATGTCAGGAATTGATGCTGGCCCTGAGTCCCAGTCAACTGACATTTGCACTCACTTGAACAAAGGGGCAGGCCTTCTTTGTTTCTTTCAAATGCTAATTAATTGCCTATAACCTCTGGCACTCCTCCTAAACCACGGTCCTTCTCTGTCTCCCCTACTCATTGCACAAGGAGCTGACTCTGCAGGAAGACCGGGCATCACTTTGTTTTCATGCTCCCCCCCCCAAAGAGAAAACGCAGCAAAGGGGCGTTGCAGTACAATTCTAGTATTATGTGTTTGTGTTTCATAAGCCCAAGACAGCTTTTAAAAAGCGAATATTGTTTTTTAGAAGTTTTAAAAAAGCAATACAGTTTTCAACACTGGCCCCGGCTTGGTGGAACGCTCTGCCTCATGAGACCAGGGCCCTGCAGGATCTGATTTCTTTTCACAGGGCCTGCCTGTAAGAAAGAGTTGTTCTGCCTGGTCTTTGGCTTGGAATCAACTTGATCCCCTTCCCCTCTTTCCTTTTTCCTTTCTCCTTCTGTGATGGAACTCCTATTTGGGAACTTCCCTGGCTATTTCTGGCTCACGTAGGACCAGTCTGGATAGTTGGTCTTGGTGAAGATTTGACGTTTTCATTCCCAGAATGTTTTTGATTTGAGTTTCTACTGAAATGAGGCTGCATTTTAATGTTGTATTTTAATCTTGTTTTTAAGTTGTATTTTAATCAATTGTTTTTATACCTGGTGTTAGCCGCCCTAAGCCCAGTCTTGGCTGGGGAGGGCAGGGTTTAAATAAAACTACTTCTTCTTCTTCTTCTTCTTCTTCTTCTTCTTCTTCTTCTTCTTCTTCTTCAAAAAGCAGATATTGCTATGTGCCTGCCTAAAAGAATGTGCAATTCAACAGTAGATGGCAGCATGGCAATGCAATTGCTTCAACTGGGGCTCTGCCTTGGGACAAATCTAAATCATGTTAAAAGAAATAAGTTGAGTCTTGCTCAAGTTAAGGGGGGGTGTTGTAAGAAATAAATACGCCGAAAACCATGCAGATGATATAGTTAAAATGCAGATGATTTAACTAAATGAGAAGCTTTGTAAATGTTAAATTAAATTGTTATTACATCAAGCGTGGTTTTAACATTGGGTGAGAATCATTTGGCTGCATAGGGAAGGAATGTGATGATGGTTGAGGCTATTTGCTGTCTATGATTGGTTGCACGGCTCTGATATAGCAGAGAACATTTAGTGCAATGATAAGCAAGTTGCAAGTCCTTTGATTCCTCAAAGCATGCTTAACATTAACCTATGTTTAGAAACTGATTGAAAGAGATACCCTGCTTCCCCTCTCCTTGTTTAAATCCTTGCCCACATCACCCTGCTCCTTCTCTCATTAGGTCAGGGAATCTCAGAGCTGCAAACCAAATATGCTGTTCCGAGCTTCTCTGTCTGCCCTTCAGGACTCTCGCAATGGCACATCTCTCACCACCCTATTTTTCCATCTCCTTGAATTGGCTGGAATATGTCCTAGAACTCTGACAATCCTTGCCTGGATAGAGAATGGAAGGGTGTGTGCACACACAGAGAAAAAAATTGTGTACAAAAGGAACCCCCCCAAATAAAAATAAAACCATACTGATTTCTCTGCTTCTTTTTTCCTCCAACCCTGCTCACCACTGGCATGTATCCCCCCAGAAAGTTAACCGGAAGGAAATGCAGCCCTTGGACTAAGAATGTTTCCCCACCTTTGGATTAGGTTGTTGTTTGAGAGAGGAAGAAAAGAAGGACATATTGTGGTTTGTTGCTTGCAACAATGTTTGGTGGGAACACAGGAGAGGGCCTTCTCGGTGGCTGCTCCCAGGCTTTGGAACGCCCTTCCTCTAAGAAGGCCTTTTGTTTGGACAGATGGAGGATAGAGAGGAAATGCAAGTGTTTCTGTGCAAAGGCAAAATCCACATTTGCTGCTCTACCTAGTTTTGCCTTTGGCTCCTGAAAGTTTGCCCAGAAGGGGAATTTGGCCCTCCATCTGAAAAAGGCCTTCTGCCCCTCCTCTAACACTTCCCACTTGTAATCTCCACCCTTGATTTCTGCTTTAGCCACCTCTCCGAAAGTGCGATCCTACACATCTACCAACAAATAAACTCCATTGAGCTCAATGGAGTTTACTCCCAGCCAAGGACATATACCCACAATGTGTAAGTATAGAACAGTTTGCTTCGTTTTCACACTCTTTTCTCCCTAGTTCTGTGCCGAAAATTCCTCCTGAATTTCTGACAGTTCTCTATTAACAGACGTGAAAAGAAATTTCGTCAAAAGATTAAGAAAGGAGAGGGAAAAAATTCAATTGAGATTCTTATTGGTAGGTACCAGGGTTTCAAGTATGCTTGCCTTTCGAGGAGTTTGCACTCATCCTTTATTTCATTCTACAAATCCTCTCTCCAGTGGTCTGCACTCTGCAGCCTTCCTGGGTGCTTGCATTTCTTGAAAACATCACTCCATCCCCAGTTGTGCTATCCTGCAAGGAAAGGGAAGTTGGGAGGCTGTGTAATGCTCACCTGATAACTCTCTCTCTCTCTCTCTCTCTCTCTCTCTCTCTCTGTGTGTGTGTGTGTGTGTGTGTGTGTGTGAGAGAGAGAGAGAGAGAGAGAGAGAGAGAGAGAGAGAGAGAGACTGGAGGACAGATTTCAGTGTGCTGCCTGCTTAAGAGCACCCCACGTCTGACAATACTGATCTCACCCCTCCATGCACTGAATGTGCATTTAGCTCTTACAGAACATGTGAAAAATGGCCCCTACCTCAAAAAAACATTTAGTTGCTCCACTTTGCCTAGGATTCGACTGACACAGGGGCAGCGTGTCCCGTTTCACCACCTGAGGCAAAATGGGAAAGTGCTGCCCTCCTCCATCTCGCTGCACTGCCCTGCCAAAGCCTCTCTTTCCTGGGTTGTGTGGTGGTGCCCAGTGGCAGGTTTCATCGGGATCTCACTGGAAACTGGTGCTCCTGCTGCTAGCACTTCTCCCACTTCTGGCCTTTGCGCACCTCATGGGTGGCCTGGCCCTAGATTGACAGGTGGACTTGGTTTAGGGGAAATGGCATCCAGGTCCACCTTGGCCCACAGGTTGGGGGGCTTCCCCCCTCCCAGCCTAGGGAAAGGCAAAAACTCCCTTCAGACCTTTCCTGCTCAACATGTGGAGGATGGTGACTGACAGGTCCATGTATATTGAGGGCAGAGCCAGCATGCATGACCTTTGCCCCCAACAGGTGAGGAGGTTTTCTGCTTGGGAATAATTCCAGAGCAGCTCCATTGTTAAGACCAAAACTAAACTAAGCTTACTTGGCTAGGGAATTGTATAGAAGGTACCCTTTGTGCTCAGTTGAGACCTTGTGGCTGAAGGCATTTTTTCTTATTTGTTTGTACAGTCAATTTTCCCTTCAGTATCAATTTGCCCTGAAGTCTTGTAAAGCTGTTTGTTTCTTCTATTACACTAATGCCTCTAAGCTAGCAAAACAGCTGAATCAAGTCATTCAAAGTATATTTGTTCTGGCCTTAGCTATGGGCTTTCCTTCGAAATGAATTAGGCAACTAACTACATGTATATCAGTTGGAAAACTGACCTCCCCTGCTTAGAATGCAAATGGCTCCTTCCCCTGATGTAATATATCTTAAGTGGAAGGTGGGAATATGTTTCTAAGGCAGAAAGAAGAACCCATTTTCATTGACAAGATCTGTCTCTCCCCCCCTTTTCTTTTTGCAAATTTGCAAAGCAGCATTATGTTCTAGAGAGTTTTATTATTGTCAGCCTGAGATTTCTTTTGCAGAGCCACCCACATGTCTTCCTGAATTAGACTTGTACGGATGATCTAGAAGTAGAAACAAATAACTAAATCAGTGATGGACAAACCTATTTAAACACAAAGGCATGTAGCCAAAGTAGTGCTAATTCTTTATTTCCATTAGTGTAAGGGCTTATTCTTGCAGCATGAATCTTTCACCCCATCTCATCTCCCTGAGTACCCCCTAAATCTGTTTTGAGGTTTTCTCCAACCTCAAAGAGCAGAGTTTGGGAGAACGCAGGACATGCGCAGAGGGGGAGAGAGGGAAAACGTTCCACTGGGTAAGCATAAATCCTTGTGTTAGAGAACAAGGACATTGGATGCCTTCCTTATTTATTCCAGCGTTCACTTTAACGTAGCGAATAACATTTTAGAACCGTAAGTTTATTTAAATAAGCAATATGAAGACAATTACAGTGATACAACGCTAGAAGATATTCAACCAACAACCTTCAGTATCAGGCAAGCAGGATAAGTTGGGTGACTATGAGGACCACCTTAGTCCTTCATGGAGAGTATTTATTTCTGAGCATCTATGTATAAGTGGGCCTGTAAAACTCATACAGTTAACTAAGTAAGTTAACTTCTGTAACTGGGTATGTGCTTACGGATTTTAACCCACCCCAAACAATTTTTGTTTATTTTAATCTTTAATGCTTGTCTTTTCCTTATCTAAAGATTCACCCAAAGAGGCTTAGATCTTAACTTCAATTAAACCCCCACCCAACCTTAATAGAGTTGAAAAGGAAGTGGCAACATACAAAAACCCAACAACAGCAAAATCCAATAGAATACTATTCTACAGCAGCAGCAAATTATCACCAGATTCTGCGGGGCAGTGGGATATAAAGTCAAATGAACAAAATGCAAATAATTGAATTAATCCAATTATTTGGGTGGCTTATTACAAAAGCAAATGTCATCTGTGGTAACAGAGGACTGAACGGTTCAGAAGTTTTACCTTAGTAGCTTGTTCCCAAGTGTGCCATATTTATTAATCTGACAAGCCTGTATTAATAGCTGCTTCCTCAGCTGAAGGTAAATACTGTATAAATTGTCACTTCAGCATGTCACCCTCTTTTGTAGCATGCTGAATAATGAATTTGAACAACCCGTCATGATGTACCTGCTCCATGCCAAGCACTTGACATCACATCTGCCTGTTAAATCACCTGCACCCTACCAGAAACCACTGTCTCTGAACACAGCTATTTGTTAAGAGGGTTAGGGTAGCCATTGGTGAGCACTGTCATTTTCCTTCTAGTTGCCGAAGACTAGGATGGATGACACCAGGTTGTGAAAATGAGCTTTGGGAGGATCCTATAAATAAAATGGAAGGACTTTAATTGGGTACATTTCCTGAGATTTTTGAAATTGGACCCAGAAAAGAAAGAACCATTGAGTATGGGGGCTTAATGCTCAGTTTAGGAGAATCTCTGAAATGCATTTTGCAGATTTGTTTTTACACTTTCCAATATGATGGCCCAGGTCAAAATGCAGCTGTGTGTACCTAAAGCCTCTTTTGTACAGGTGGAACTTCATCTAAGCAAAGTCCTCCCTACATTTCAAAAAGGATGTTGGCAACCTAGAGTGAGACCAAAGGATGGTGAGAGGGGTTTCGAAACCTAATCCTATTAAGAACAGTGGAAAGTGCTTCTTATGTTTAGCCTTGGAGAAGATAAGATTCAGGGGGAGACATGATAGTGGTCCTCCAATATCTGAAGGGCTGACATGCAGAAGATGGAGAGACTTGTTCTCTGCTGCTTCAGAGCTGCAGCTCAAACCAGTGGGCCTAAAGAGCAAAGAAACAGATTTTGGCTAAATATTAGGAGAAGGACCCACCTGCTTTATATTGAGCCAGACCATTGGTCCATTTAGATCAGTATTGCCTACACTGACTGGGAGCAGATCTCCATAGTTCCAGCCTGGGTATCTTTCCTAGCCCTATCTGGAGATGCTGGGGTTGAGCCTGGGATCTCCTGTATGCAAAACAGATGCTCTACAATTGAGCGGTGGCCCTTCCTCTTAAAGAGGTGATGTGTCTCCTTCACTGGAGCATGATGGACAGGGATGCTGTGGTTGCCTCCTGCGTTGCACCCCTAGATTATCTCCATGCTGCTTTTAATTCTATAATCCTTCTATTGATTTTAGTGAAGAGAATGTGTGCCGCATGCAAAATGGGTGCACACTTGTGCATTTACCCAACACTGAAACGCACAAGAAAGGCCCTGTGTTCAAGAAGCTCCATGCTCCCATCAGAGCCCATGGATTACTCTGTGTACCTAAGGAGATAAGGAGAGCCTGCTGGTCCAGGCCAGGAGCCCAGCGAGTCCAGATTCCTGTTCTCACGTGATCACAACAGCACTCTCCCTGCCTGCAGTTTCCAGCAACTGGTATTCAAAGCACACAGCCTCTGACAGTGGAGGAAGAGCATCATAGTTAGTAGCCATTAATAGCCTCACCCTCTCTGTGCTTGTTGGGGGGGGGATGAAAAAGACGAGGCAGGCTGGGTAACCTGTAATTGTCTCATTTGGAATTTCGTTTGTGCAGTAAATAAAGGAAGCATCTTCTCAGCCATCTGCCCATCACTGGGTTTTGTGCCGAAGGTTGCACATTCTGTTCCAGCATATCTGGCAGAACTGAAGTTCAAGGCTGTCTTCCAGAATGGAATGTAAAGTGCATAGGAGCAATTAAGAGACCATTTCAGCTGGTCCACGAACTATTGGCTGGCATCAGGGAAGCTAACTCTGTTCAGCCACCAGCGCCCCTCCTGAAACCCGTCCCCCCAAATTCAAAATTAGGTGAGTTGACTGTTGATTAGTTTCAGATAAATCTCTCCAAATGTTTCTAATTGCAATGGTTTGTGCATGAGATGGTTTGGGTCACTGCTGCCCTGCTCACTCATGGGGAGTTTTTAAATGCCAGGCTATCTGGATAGACCTGATTTAGCAATATCCGCCTCCAAGTTGCACACTGAGGTTGAGTGCCAGTTGGAAACATTGTCATTCAATTGCTTCTTTCCCCAATCATGTTATAAACAGAAACCAAAAAGGAAAATAAGAGTGGATTAAGTTGCCTGCTGAGCTCACATTTTGTGTGAATGTTAACGTATCCAGAATGGCTCAGGACTGTTGCATTTGGGTGAGTTTGACCTTGCAGCCATAGGGGTCATGTAAAAGCTCTGCCATACACCTGTGAACATTAAAGAAACATCAATTGATTTATATTTAATCAGTTTCTCAAGTCAGTCACTTCAAGCCTGCAGTCTCCACACATTTCAGATAGTTCAGTTTGATGGTCCCCTCTAGGAAAGCTCAGTGACATTTTATTTTCAGGGACAGCAGGATCAGTACACATTTTGGAAGGTTGGATGCAGGGCCAATAGGCACGCCAGAGTAGACATTCAGCCTTTCCCAGTTACCCGAGTTCTTGCTGAGGATAGCGGTAGCATGTAAATTCCTTTGCTACTCTGCAGCTAAGAAGATATTGTGGTATAGTGGCTAGAGTTTCAGACCAGGACCCGGGAGACCAGGGTTCCAACTGCTTTTCAGCCAGAAAATTCAGTGCGAAATCTTAGACCAGTCACTGTATATCTGTCTAATCTACCTCATGTCTTGCCTAGTAGCCCTTACAAGGTACCAGACATGGAGTCTTCAGATGATGAACCAGACACCCCACAGGTCAAGGACCTTGAGGAGCAGACAGGGCTGCTGAATCCAGCGCTGAGGATTACCTTGAGTGGCTCCCCAGGTTGGTTCCAGATAAATAACCCCTGCAGAGGTGGATTTAGAGCAGTGGTGAGTGCTGTACTGGGTGCTTTCTCAAAGACCTATAAACTCTTGCCT